CGGGAGCATCCGGCTCTTGTAGCTGCAGGAAGGGAGAGGGAAGGGCAGGAGCGCCCCGGGCTGAGCTGCAGCCATTTATCTCCCAGAGCCAAGCTATTAGACAGAAGACAGAGGGAGAGAGGCAGGGGGGGGAAAAAAAAACAAGGCTCCTTCCACTGGGTGATTTATCTCCCGGCTTCATCCAGCAAACTTGCTGATAAAAGGCTCTTCCCTTCCCTGTGTCTCATCAATTCTCATTCTCGTTGCTTTTCTAGTTGTTTTCCTTTATATACCCTTTCCTTGGGTTGCTGCTGACTGCTCCTGCAGCTGCCCTCCCCTCGCCCCAGTGCTGCGCACCCTGTCTCTCCCATGCTCCCCATCTCATCTCCATCTCCTGATGGTCTCTGTCCCTTTCCTTCTTTTCCCCTCTGCTCCTCCTTCTTTATCTCCTTGTAGCACTTTCGTTCCCCCTTATTCCTTCTCCTTCCATATTTCTCCGCTGTATCCCCCTCTCCATCCCTTAGCCCACCTGGCTGGAATGGAAAGATTCCCCATCAGCAAGTGACACTACAGACACTGTCATGGCAAATTCAGGCTTGTGCCACACGGAGCCTGGCCCTGGCACTTTGTGCCTCATTTCCCCGGGTAAAACCTTCACCAAAGGCACACTGGGCTTCCAGCACTTTTGCAATCCCACTTTGCAGCAAGCTGCACAGAAAGGAGATGGGAGAAATCCAGTCTTGAAGGTAGAAGTCACAGAAATGTCTTGGGGAGATGGAGGAATCGGGTACATGCTGGGAAAGCACTGGAGAGCCAAGTCACATCCCTGGGGTGGGGATCAGGGGAAGAAAAGACAACTGGGGGTATTTTCCAGTTCCCCATGTGCTGGGGCACCACAGGGAATGTTCCAACACCCCCCAGAGCTGTATTTTTGGTGCAAAACATCAGAAGCAGAAGCAGAAGAGCAGAAGCATCACCCGTCTCCTGCTGTCACTGTCACTGCAGCCCACGCCAAGGAAGAGCCCGGAATAGCAGCTGGGGGCTGGTGGGGAGCTGGGACATGGAACCTCTCTGGAGCCCAGACGGGGTGTCCTGGTCCCACCTGGCCCCAGCAGTCCTCCCGCTGGGCCCCTTCCTCCTCCTGGCTTCTCCAAGGCTCCCATTATCCCGGGCAGCGTCTCCCCAGCGCCTGCGAGGCAGCGGATCAGCCTGTGTTGGAGAGGAGGCACCGTCTGCCTGCCTGGGAGACACCAGTTCCCCCCGCAGCCTCAGCACGCCTCCAGCCTCCCCGCTCTGTTTATTAGCCTCAAATCTCAGTCCCACCACTCCTCTGCCTCACTCCGGATCTGTCTGGGGAGAAAACAAGAACTTATGGGGCATGGTTGGTGCTTTGGTGCTGCTGTGGAGATAGGGATGCACCGGGGGGTGGGAGTTTGGGGCATGTGTGTGCACAGGAATCACTGTGAAGCTGCACAAGGGGAACTGACCCCTCCATTCCCCTGCATGAGCCCCTTGAGGTCCGGGTGTCCCCCAGGATCCCCCATCCTGCTCCTGCAGACACTGCTCAGGATGCAGCCCACAGAACGTGGTGGAATTAAAGCCATGGGAGCTGCAGGACTGCCTGGTCCATCCTCCATCCACCCGTGGTGCAGCGCAGGAAAAGGCTGAATGAGTTTCCCTGCTACCTGCAGGACCCTCAGTGTTTCATTAAGAGACAAGGAGCCCGACATCGGTGGGCGATGGCACAAGATGAGCAGCGGGCTCCTGCCCTCTCCTTCCCCATCTCCTCCCCACCCCATCTGCAGGAATTCAGGGTGCAGGTCCCCAGGGTGCTGGCACAGCAGAGGGGGGTCAGCTCCATCCCTCCCAAGGACTGTCCTGCCTGGGGGTCATGCCCCAAATGCTGCCAACACACTCCCTGTTCTGTTTCCTTCTGAGGCATCTGAAGCTGTGAAACATGAAGTTTAGTGCCCAGACCTGCCAAAAATGACCTTTACCTGTGAGCTCCGACCCCATCCACACACACCAGCACTGTGACAGCATCCCATATGCAAGACTTCCCACATCATCAGTGCTGCAACCCCATCCATGGGGTAAAACCGGGTTACAGACACAGACCCCACAGAGACATCACAGCCGGGGAGTCTTCCCTGTACAATAGGGTTTGAAACAAGGTGCTTTTTCTGGGCCCTTCTTCACAGCCTGAAGGAAAGAAAGCCCCACATTCCTCTCTATTAGTGTTTTAAGGAGAAAAGATCCTATAACATCTCCGGAGAGATTTATAGTCACAGAAATGCCCGTGCACTTAAAGAGAAAGCTGTGGGTCCATCAGAAGGATGCAGGAATCAATAGAGCCTTCCTCTGCTTTAATGCTGTTTCTCCAGGAGATGCTTTAAAAGCCAATGCTCTCGCAGCAAGGGATGTGCGGGGTGGAGCCTGGCGCAAGGCTTGGATAAGTCAGTGCTGAACAAACTTTGGTGGGAAGCCCTTTCCAGGGAGAACAACAGGGTGACAGAACAGCTGCCGGGAGAGGAGCAGCCTTCTCCCGTCCTCGCTGGGTTTAATGCTTCTCTTCCTGCTGTTTGAGAGTCTTTTAAGCCGGGGAGAAGCTCTGGGGCTTGGTTTGAATGGTGTCAGCCTGGGTCAGGAGAGCCACAGCGCATCAAGGAATCAAAGGTGGGGTGATGGTTGGCTCCTCTAAACCCATGGCTGCATGATGGGGGGTGCTGGGGGGCTCCTTTCTGCCCAGCCCCTCACCAAACACCCCCCAGAGGAACCCTGACCCCTTTCCCTGGAAAGGGTGCGAGGAAACGGAGTAAAGTCGTGTTCGCACCCGCCACGGGGGGGGTGAGGGGGTTAAGGGGCTTCTCCACTCCCCAGCAGCTTCTAATGAGCCCAATCACAGTTTCCTGCTCCCAGGAAATTGCCCCCACCTTGGGCCAGTGCTTTAAAAGGACCCGGGGGGCTTGTTCCTGGAGGGTTTTGGGTGGTTGCTGTGAATGTTGCAGCTCTCTTACGCAGGGGTTGTGTCTGCTCATGTGGTGGCGGTGGCCTCGGATGAAGCATCTGTGGGCTGGTTGCACTCTAAACCTCATGGGTATAAAGAAGATCAGATGGAGGCGTTGGTCTGTGTTGAGGGTGGGCAGGGTGTGGGGGGGCTCTGCCACATGCATGAGGTCTCCTCTAACACAGCTTCTTGTCGGGTCTCTTCCAGGAATGACCTTGGGGAGGAACCTGAAGGATGCAGCCGGGGGCAAAAATGAATCATCTGGGGAGGAAGAAGAGGCGAAGCTCTGAGTGAAGGCACGAGCCCTGGTTGTGATGTGCTCTGGGTGGGGGGGCCAGG